TCAAAGGAGCCTTTGGGAGGAAGCACCTCCCTTCTCTGTCTGCATCTTTATTTATTCCTCCTTCACCCTGGACTCTCGGGAGTGTGACACAGCCATGATGGAAGTGGAGCCGCGCCCACTGTGTTGCTGCCATCAAAGGCACAGGCTCATCTCCGGAAGATATGGCCCTCGGTTGGGGCCTGCCTGCCAGGTGCTGCCCAGCAACCAGCCTGACATCTGTTTCCCCTCCGTTCATGTCCACAGAGAAGAGACCTGTAAAGGCCTCTGAAGTGAGGTCTCTCCCAGCACACGAGGTCTGAGCACTTCTCTCTTTGACAAGATAGTGTCAGGGATTCAACAAACTGCAAAGACCTGGGCTGGCACAGGGCTGTGACAGTACCCACACTGGACATGGGGTTGGCACCAGGTCTGCTCCCCCTGACAGTCCCACCTCAGAGCGCTGGATCCTCCTCACCGTACTCAGGAAGGGTCAGAGAGCAGAGACAGCCTCTCAGGAGATCGCTAGGTCAGTACAGCGTTTAATGCATAGGCATAAAGGCCTGAGTTTGAATCTCCACAATCTATACAGAAAGCCACCCCTGTGGTGCTCGACTGCAACCCCAGCCCTGGGCAGAACATCCTTGGGTGGCGATGCCCATCCAGCCCATCCAACTGGTGAACTCCAGGTTCAGTGAGAGTCCCTGCTTCAAAATAAGGTAAAGAATGAAGAAGGCACTGAATGCCAGCCTCTACCCTCCACACACACATACACCTGTGCACACACAAGACAGCTACACACACACACACACACACACACACACAGAGAGAGAGAGAGAGAGAGAGAGAGAGAGAGAGAGAGAGAGAGAGAGCCCACCCTTTCCCTTACCTCATAATAGCAAGGATACCCCATTCTGGAGATGTTTAGGCAAAAGGCTACAAGTAGGATGGCTTGCCTTTTTGCCCCCTTTTTGCTTTAACCCTTTTAGGTTCATTCTTGTCATACTAAATAGAGGGACGGCAGAGTTTGGGGTGAACTTTCTTCTCTTTCCCTCTTGCATTGGCTGAGCCATGCCACCAAGGCTGCTCCTCTGCACAGCTTGTTCTAAAGCAGCTACCTGCAGCTCTCACAGATGCTACACACTGGAGATGCTGCTCATCTTTTGAGATACCCTGGGTTGGGTTGTGAAGCACAGTGACCTCTAATTCTGTTTGGGTCCAAAAACATTTACTATGTAGCTATCATCTGCCAGAAAATCAACACTGCCAATGCTCTCCCTGAATCAGACACAAACTCATTCATTTTTGTCTTCGTGACAGCCTTAGTGGATGTCCACAGCAGTTCCCCACCTGGATGGAACGGGATACCAAGGCGTGAAGAAGGGTGGAGGGAAATCCACAGTCATAATGGTCCTAGTGGAAGAGATGAAAGTCAAATCCATTTCTCCTGCTCGCCTTGATGGTCTGCGATGGACCCAAGCAGGAGCCATCATCTCATCTCAAGGTGACCTAGTGTAGTAAGTGACAGGACCCCACCAAATTCCAGGAAACCCCGGCCAAAGCAGACTGGATCCCCATAGCAGGTCCCTGCCCTGCTGAAGGCCTTTCGGAGCCCAGCCTGCACGGAGACTTCATTCTTCCATAAAAGGAGGCCCGTTTGCCAAAGGAACCTTCCAATCAGAAGTGGCAAGTGATTTGCTGCAACTCAAACTCGGATGCGGATGGCAAGCCCTAGCTCATGACTATTTTGAGCCCAGGAAAGCCCACAAGGGTGTCTATTCTGAGACAGTGACACAAAAAGATACAGTTAGGAAAATGTGTGGAGACTTGGGAATTAAGAGTCACTCCCACGCCCCAGCAAGAACTTCTGCCCTGGCCCCAAGCTTCGGAGCAGGGTTTGCCCCATAGGCACCGGGAGCAGGCAGCTTTTCCTGCTGGCTGGTGCCCTCGTGGAGAAGCCTGAGGTAAAGGTACACCTGCAGATGGTGTTCCTGGAAGGGTCTGGGGTCCCACAAAAGGGAGCCACAGGGAAGAGGGTGGAAAGGGGTTGAGATGCCTACCTTCACCTAACCGCCTCAGCTGCCATTCTACAGCATGCTAGCCCAGAGCCAGGACTGGGCTAAACCCACGGCATGTTGGCTTATTTAATCACCGCCCCCCAAACACATCTTATTGGAATCCCTCCCTCAAAGCTTACGAATTAAGACAGAGGGGCTGGGGGGATGGCTCAGCAATTAAGAACCCTTGCTGTTCTTCCAGAGGACCCATGTTCAGTTCCCAGCACCCACATCACGTGGCTCACAGCTGCCTTTAATTCCAGCCCCAGGGACCTGACACCTTCTGGCCTCCACAGGCACCCACACACACGAGTATGCAGACACATAAATAAATAATTACTATTTTAATTAATTCGAGAGAGAGAGAGAGAGGGAGAGAGAGAGAGATAGAGAGAGAGAGAGAGAGAGAGAGAGAGAGAGAGAGAGAGCTGAGAACTTCCCTAAGTCCACCAAGTAGAGCAATGAGTCATGGCAAGCCACGCCTCCCAAGCCTACGGCTCACCCATGAGGTCATAGGTCCCAGGACCAGGGGAAGTGATGTTGGAAAGTGTGTCTGCACATGGTCCTCCTGAGATGCTGCCAAGGACCAGCATCTTCATGAGAGACACGGGAGAATACAGGAAGATGGAGGTGGGAACTGGGAGCCTTCCTTGCTTGGGAGGAGCAGAAAGGAGCAGCCTCCTGAGTGCCACAGCCCTCAAGACACCCCAATTTGGGTCCTGGTCCTCAGAACCATGATAAATGCCACCTCCCAGCTGTTCTAAGTCACACAGTGTGGACCATCTGTCAACCCACAGCAAGCCCTCCTCTGCCGACAGCAGTCTAGAGGTGAAGATGAGAGGGCTGGGTCAGGGGTCAAGTGGTCCCTCAAGGGACCACTAGCTGTCTTGGTTCTCCAAGTCACATCCCTGGGAAGCAGCCATCACAAGAGTGTCTTGGGGTCAGAATCTGGCTCTAACAGAGCTAGACATCAGGAAGAACCATGGGCAAGGACCACCATAGAGCTTGACTCCAGTTGATTCATCCCTTTGACTGCCCATGTCTGTGTAGTCACTAGAACTCGGAGGCCACTCAAAGTCATTTGCCCCAAATCCAAACACCCCTCCTAGAGGGAGGGAAGAAGCTTGTGGGACTTACTAGGAGCCTGGAACCACCTTTGAAAAATATCCTCAAATGTTTGTAGAGTGAGGAACATGTTCCTTGGTTCCATTTGGGCACAAACATGTCTACAGCCCATGGAGTCATTTTGTAAGATTCCAAACCACAAATCCCAAAACACAGTCACCTCCATCAGATCTATGTCAGGGAAGCACACGCCTGAAACTACATGTCCAGGCAAGAGAGACACCATCCACAGGGACGGAGACACCATCCACAGGGGCAGAAACACCATCCACAGGGGCAGAAACACCATCCACAGGGGCAGAAACACCATCCACAGGGGCAGAAACACCATCCACAGGGGCAGAAACACCATCCACAGGGGCAGAAACACCGTCCACAGGGCAGAGACACCGT